TAACACAAGAGGAAGTTTAACAAACGTACTCACCAAAAAAAAAAAAAAAAAAAAATGCAAACAAAAAAAAAAACGGTTTATTAAAAAGATATTATATTTTCTTGACACAGATATTACTCTCTCGACAATTTTCATTGTTTTTAAAAGCTATTTGGATCTTTTTAATGAAACGCAAACAGATGAAGCTGGATTTATACATTTAGACAGACACGCATACACAATTACAAATACACATTACTATCCCATACCCGGTTAAATATAATTTCTGCTATTTTACATATATATATATATATATATATATATATATATATATATATATATATATATATATATATATGTAGTCTTAATGCACGCGATACATGACTGTCAATGAGAGTCGATCTTAGGAAAATCGGACATAACAAAGTTCTGATATTTTGTCCATTTTCTCTCGATCTATGCGGAAGCTTTAATAAAAGTGAAACGTGTTAGATTGATAAAAATCTTCTTTTTGTTCTTTCTTGTATCATCCTGTCGGATTCCTATCCACATTTGATCTACGTTCGATTTTTAAATCGTTGTAAAATAATTATATTGAAGTTTTCGGCTCTTGTTTTGAAACATGAGAACTCTTATGTAGCGATGGAATCATTTTTTAAATAGATAATTATATTTAGGCTCTACCATTGTATCGAGCACTGTTTTTTTAAAAAATAATAACAAAAATACTAAAGAACTTTCGATTATTTACCTAACGAGTTCTTTCCTATTTTTCTATATATTTTCACACGCATATATATATATATATATATATATATATATATATATATATATATATATATTGTGTGTGTGTGTGTGTGTGTGTGTGTGTGTGTGTGTGTGTGTGTGAATACCAAAAATAATTTTGCACTGTTTGTTCGCGGATTCCTAAAACAAAAACAAGGAAAAAATTCCATATAAAAATATGTTCGCAACTCCTTCGTTGTTGAGTTATTAAGTTTAAAGTTTACGGTAGACGCTGTGAAATATAGAATACAAGTTACAATCCTAAAATACTTATTACCAGAGTTTGTGGTGCTATGGGTTCTATCTCATCAAAGCGACAATAAACAGCGGCAAAGGTTGGATGATTTGGCTGCCTTCGGTCTGGAAACGTGATATGATACAGCCGTGCAGACTCGCATCCATCACCATTCGCACGAGCGTATGTAAAAATCATACCTGCCTACTCACGATATGAATATGCTCACATTGTTAAACGGAATACTTCTCTGTTAACTGACCTAGAATACACGTTAAATGAAGACAGACTAGCCACAAATGTACACGAATGAGAAATGCAGCTTAGTTTACATAGCAACGCAGCGCCATCTACTGTAAAATTACTTTAAATTTAATAAATTGAAAACGAATTATTTGCGGACATATGTTTATATGTGTTTTTGTCTTTGTTTTGATGTTAGTAATCCGCATACCCGCTAAAATAATGTAAAATGATTTCTGATGCATTATATAAAATTTTGAAGCACTATATAAAATTGTTAACGTAACAAATAGGGGTCTTTCAAATTAGAATATATTTTTTCCAAATTTATCTTCAAAATAAGGATTTTATACACCAGGAATTCTTATGTTCTCATATATCCGATGCATTTTGATGTTTTTTTTTCTGGTTTCTTGAAGGTTCGTTCTTCCTGAATTGACTACTTTCATGTTTTCAAGTAATTCCTTTGTTTTTCCGTCACACATTCAAAGCAATTTTCATGTCCATTCCTGTTCCACCGATACGACGCCAACTGAGAGAAACATTGGCAATCTTTTATTTGGGCGCCAAGTTAATGCAAACTGTGAAAAATACGAACACCAAGTCATTTTCTTTATTTCGCATGGTTGTCGGAAGGCTATGTTTCAACTCTAGGCAAATATTGGTTGTCATTATCTGCTGTTATCTCTCCAAGTGGGAGTTTGAAAAATAATGTCGGATGTTGCTACAAAAAAAACAAAAACAAAAATACAAAGCTCTCAGTTTACGGGGGACATAATATTGTTTTTGTTTAATAAGATTTTCTTTTTTGTGAAAGCTTATTGAAAATATTTAAAAAAAAAAAACATATATTTCCTTTTGAATAAAATCCCGATAAAACGTTTCTTGATTAGAAAGATCAGACAGTGAAATTCAGCAGAATACTTCCGAGAAAGGACTGTTCTCAGCAACTCTGTTTCGTTTTGCAAGAAAAATAATGGAATATGCATTCGAGCATACTGTAGAAATTTAGTGATGTGGAGTTCCCATAGGTATTTTCTACTTCGGCAACAACATTGAAATCAATATATATATGTATATATATATATATATATATATATATATGAAGAAAAATACAGAAAAAAAAAACATTAGAACTTATAAAAATTTAACACAAAAGACAATGGACATAAGAGCCCAACTAATCCAAACAGATAACTGAAAATTTTATACAAGATCAGCGTTCCGTTTAAATATGATCACGTAGTCGTCACGTGGGCGATGTTGTTAAAACGTATTCGAAGATGATTTCCAAATATTAAAATATTAAAAAGTCGATTGAAAAATTTTGTATAAACAGTTCAAGAAATTTTTATGTTTAAATGAAAATGTCCATGAAGATGGTCTTAAATAGACCGAAACGCCCGACGCCGACTTTATATTAACATTAATACTACATAATTGCATATTCAGATTTTTGTTTTTTTTTCTGTATTTTTCTTCATACTGTCGGATTTACATCCATATATTTGCTTACACACACACACACACACACACACACACACACACACACACACACACACACACACACACACACACACATATATATATATATATATATATATATATATATAAAAGGAAAAGGTTATAGTAGTTCCAACGAGAAAAAGTGTGTATATTAAAAACAAGAGAAACCGCAAACGTTTTTAGCTGTAATGTTGATTATTTAAAAACATATTATGTTTTATTATGTTTTATTTCGCTACACGTGTTTCCGGTCTCGTGACAATCATCAAGACAAAAGGGGGAGATTTCTACATATAATTTTTTTTTTCCTTCATATTTTTCGATGTTAAATCTTCTCGATATGACAAATTTTCTTTTTTGTGTGTGTTAGAGACCCAAATGTCTTTCTTTAACTAGCAGGGAAAAGTTCTGCGTGAAGGGTTATATAACTACTCCATCATTCCTCGGACCAATCTTAATTGTTTTATATTTAGGTCCTGCTATTTAGCCATAGCTGGGGGAAAAGAAGAGGATTAATACCTTTTCCAAGAGTTATAGTACGTAAGTGAATGTAATGGATTCTACTAGAATAGGAACTCGGCTTTCCTCAATCTGTTACCCTACCGTACCTACACACTACACACACACACACACACACACACATATATATATATATATATATATATATATATATATATATATATATATTACAGATATTTTGTCTGCTAAGTTTTAGCAAAACCGTTCATTTTCTACTACTTGCACTCCTGAAGATGATCTTGGGAGAAGATCGAAAGTACTTGGATAATGAAAATAAATGAAATTTAAACAGTTATAGAACATTTATCTGTAATTTATTCAATCAGCAGACATTCCTGAAAGAATATTTTCTGTATTTCTAAATACTCAATATGTCACAAATACACGATATATATATATATATATATATATATATATATATATATATATATATATATATATATATATATTCGCGTAGGTATATTAAGATTTTGCCGAGAACACAAACATCGAAAATAAAACATAAAATATTTTAGGCACATACATTGCTTGAGTAATTAGTTTTGAAAGTATTATACTTTGGCTATCAATAAAAGGAAAAGAGAAGAAAAAAATTAAGATAAATTAAACGGGCGTCTTTTATTTTCTAACCCCCAGGAGAGACGTCTATTGACAACTGTGCACATTCTCATCTCTACATGATAAGATAACCGGAGGCAGACATTTACTGACGCCAGTCTGAAAAAAGTTTTCTTCATTCTGAAAGAAAATGAGTATAAGAAATTATTTAAAATTGTTCCACAGAAATACAAAGCACACTTGCATATCTCTTTTGGCATACACATGCAACATATTTTAGCAATACCGCTTGGGAATAAAGAAGAAGGCATAAATTATTACACACAAGACTTTAATTTATTTCTCTACCTTCTCGACAGCTTTTGTGGTAACGTATTTTCACATCAGTAATAGACATGACACTTTTATGACTACCACTCAGATGAAAGGACAACAAACCCCGAGAATATTAGTTTGTGTTTCTGTTAACATTATATTAATCATACTTCCCAATATAAATACAGAGTATGCTAAACATTATATATATATATATATATATATATATATATATATATATATATATATATATATATATATCGTAATTCATGTATATATGATAGCATCATCCGAAATGTAAATTAATCAAGTTCTCTCTTGTCTATATTTTGTCTAGATTTATAAACACTCGGCTATTGAGAAGTTTTTCCTTCATAATTATAGAACATTGCAAAAATATATATATATATATATATATATATATATATATATATATATATATATATATATATATGTGTGTGTGTGTGTGTGTATGTGTGTGTGTTGTCAGCCATAGACTGACAGTTTCGCTGTATCACAGCTCATCAGTGTGACTAGACATCCGATCGCCTCAAGCTAAGATTGAAACCCAACTGATATGGCATCAGTCAGATATTCTAAACTGAGCTCTCAGCGCCCGATTGAGAGAAAGGCTAATTTTTACGTACTTATTCTTCGAATAAACACGCCAATGACCAAGCGGGTTGAATTCATGGAAGAACTTTACAGTTTTGCAATAGTATCATTCTGCAACTTCACAAAGGAGGGAAGATGTAATCAACACCCAAGTGAGAACTAAAAGCACAAATATGGTATTAATAATTTGGTATTTTATTTGCTAGGATCTATTCATATATCTACTACTATCTAGATGACATTTATGTCCTTTCGCCTCTTCTTCCTACTTCCGCCAATCGACTACTACCGGTGTAACAGGTTGAACGGAAGGCTCCTCTCCCGCTGTCTCATCCTAATCGGAACAATACTTATATACGTCTGCAGACGGATCTTCCCACTTCCAACTCTGTGTCACTTGTCCTCAAAAGGTTTCCTTTATTTATTTATCATTTATCTTTTACTTAATCTTCAATCATGTGAGTTTCAGCTTTGAAGCTTGACTTCAAATACTTTATCATCCGGCCATAAAACACATGGCATTTTAGACACCGATAATATAATTTATGGCCCACTTGACATTCATGAGTCTTTGGCCGGTTGTGGGGTGAATTATTGAGCCAGGTATAATGAGACCAAATGGAAAAGCTATTCACCTACGTGTTTTACTCCTTACAGTAGGCGTTCCCAGCTAGAAATGAGTGACAGGACGTTAGAAAAAGTGTAAAGAAATATAAGGAATAGGAAATAAAGATCTTTATCAGATGATGCAGCCAGTAAGTTGATCTTTTTCGTGCCGAAACCGATAACGGCCAGTGGATTTATAATTTAGCCAACTTCATTTGTTCGTATACCGCATTGTGTTAATAATATTTTTGCAAGGACGTGTGATATCGGATATGAGGGCGGTCTAAGGTTGCCCGAATGGAAATATGAAGTCAGTCCTCTTTCACTGCTTTTTTACCTAAGTATTTAAAAAAAATAGGAATAACCTCAACATCTTTGGAGTTACATTGTTTACAAGCGGATTGTTGCCTTTGTATTTTTAGTTATTATCACTTTGTTCACTATGCCTTCTGGCTTTATTTGATGCATGTCACTGCGGTTAATCTACAAGGAATTTTGAACTGAATACTATTTATTCTACGGGGGTTGACATTTTAAGCATTATTTTTGAGATACAAGTCATACTAATTAACCCATAGATGGGAGGAGGTAATCTGTTTTCGTACGTTTCCCAAGGGCAAGTGAATATAAAAAAACTTAAATGAAATTGGAACTCGGTTCTATATTTAGCAAAAACCTATGCATTACCCATTACATCACCCGCTCATCCAAGCTTACAGCGATTGACATTCCCAAGCTGTCACCCATCTAATGCTGGCCAGTTCCTATATTGCTTAACTTCTGTGATCGTATGGAAACTGGTATTTTAACGTGATTTGGCCGTAAGCTCAGAATAAAAGAATATGAAAAACAAAATGAAAGAAGTAATGCGAATACTGGATGCCTTTTTTCTGATGTTACCAGAAAACTGTTATTTAGCACAAATACTTTGGGAATAGTGTATAGAAATTTGTAACCAGGAAGATAATATGAATGGAAGATATTTCTGTGTTTATTCTTGTCATTCTGCGTCTTCGTAAGGATGGTGGCTGTCCTGAAGAAGGCGAAGGAAAGATAACGACGACGAAACATGTCTTTTCCATGAGATGATATCATTGATTGCTTGTGATGTATGCAGTAGAGACGCATGGAAATGCACCTGTGTCTTGGCTATGAAGAAATCCTTCAAGGAAATTCATTACTGTCGTTTTGATGGAAATGTAAAGTCATTCGAAATATCCACATTGCACACACATATGCATACAGAAATAGATAGGCTCCTGCATTGACTTATACTTGCATTGTCCATACAGAAACGAACATACGTCAACTATAATCATTTTACGAATTTTCAGCTTAAGAGCTGAAGAAAAGAGATCTTATTAAATATATTTACCGATTGAGCTTACATGGAACGATCTAGAATTTATCAATATATACTAACATACAAGAAGACACAATGCAGATATATTTCGGAACTGTTTTGTTTGAAACACCTGCCTTTAAATGCATTTTTATCCGTATTATGATACATAGACACACAGAGACAAAGAGAAATACAAAGACACAAAAATACAAAGACACATGGCATATCTTGTAGGAATATACTTGTCTTGTTTCATTTTAATTGCATTCGGATATGGATTCTTTTGTTTAGTATTTCAATATGGCTGTATTCTTAGTTTCTGTTTGTTTTCTTTTTCTATTTATAGCTATCGACCATATCAACTTCTTTCTTTATTTCTTAGGCCTATATCTTTCTTTCTTTTCTTTTTCTTTCTTTTGTCTTCCTTTCTTCCTGTTGTCAGTCTTTCTTTTGTCTTTCTTTCATTCGATCTCATTCTTTCTTTCGATTCATCTCAGTTTCATTTGTAGCTATCTACTGTATCAATTCTTTCTTTCTTTCTTTCTTTCTTTCTTTCTTTCTTTCTTTTGTTTGTTTGTTTGTTTCTATCTCTTTTGACCTTTATTCTTTCTTTCTTTCCACTCCTTTCTTTCTTTCTTTTTCTCAATTTTTCTTTCTTTCTTTCTTTCTTTCTTTCTTTCTTTCTTTACAGTTTTTATTTAATACCTCTGTAACTTTCTTCATATTTCTGTTCTAATTATAGCTATCTACCACATCAACTTCTTTTTTCTTTCTTTTTTCTTTCCTTTTTCTTTCTTTCTTAGGCATGTTCACATATGTGACAGTTTCTTTCTTTCTTTTCTCTTTCGTTCTAGAATCTGTCTTCCTTTCTTTCTGTTGTCATTATTTTCTTTTTCTTACATTCGGTCTCATTCTTCCTTTTGATTCATCTCATTGTTCCATTTACATCTATCTACTATATCAATTCTTTCTTTCTTTGTTTCCTTATATATTTCTTTCTTTCTTTCTTTACAATTTTTATTTGATATTTCTCTGTAACTTTCTTTATATTTCTGTTCCATTTATAGCTATCTACCACATCAACTTCTTTCTTTCTTTCTTTCTTTCTTTCTTTCGTTTCTTTCTTTCTTTCTTTCTTACGCCCGTTCACATATATTACACTTTTTGTTATATGTATGCCTCAGCCATCTACAATATGTTGCAGATGTTTCATGTTTTTTTTTCTTTTTATTGCCATATATTTTCGCTCTATCTCTTTGCGTTTGAATATATCTCTGTATTCTTTCATTTTTAATTATTTCTGTTTTTATTTCCCTTTTTCATGATTTATTTTATCATTATATTATTGTGATTCTATAACGCCAGTTCATGAGGATTGTAAAGGGATGTTCCTCGCTGAGACCTACTGGCTTCACTCGCTTGAAGCCATTTTTAACTATTGATCTGAGAAAGTGTTTGTATACAGCCAACAGATCAGATATTGTTGTACGAGTTTAGCATCCATATAAATGTCCCGACCTGACTAGACTAGTTAGGCTAGGTTATATCTCTTGTTTTTTAGAATAATGTTTCATTTTTGTAACAGCTTACAGTGTTAAGTTAAACTATCCCTAGTACAGATTATATCAACTAAAAATCTTTGGAACATTCATAAGAGGATGGTTAGCATTAGTTGACAGCATTTTACCCGAAAATATAATAATTATAAACTTATGCTTCAAGATGTTTGTTATTCTTCATATGAATATATACAGCGTCACAGAAAATACAAGCAAAAACGATATCTCCATCTAGTTTCAGAATACTGTACATGCATTTTACCGTAACGATGTTTTACATGTTTCCCATCTTTGTTCGAGATTATTGTTTTTGCTAATGTTGCCCATTTCTGTAATTAAAAATTTTAATTACAATAGAATTATACTTGACAGAAGAAGCATCCTAATAATGAGAAAATTAGAAATTCCGATCAATTTTATCAAAATGTTACCACATCGAAAGACTAACAAACAGTCTACGTATCTTTACATATATGTCAAATGTAATGTCAACCGACATCTCCAGTTACCTTGATCTACCCACTATCCCTCTCCTCGTCCTTTCTTCTATCATCCCTATCTGATCTCGCTCCAAATCTTCCGCAACCCCCTGCATCCTAGTGGCTTCACGCCTTGCTTGGGGCGTAATGCTTAAAATAAAAAAAAATGTAACATAACCTACACATTATTAGTGTAAATATTTCAGGAACAACATTCATTAAATTTAAAACATTTGGGAAAGATAAAAAGTGAATAAATTTAAGTGTCACTATATATGCACTTAGTCACAAGAAAAAATATCATTTTATAGAAATTTCTCATCGGTTAATACTGTTGCATAAATTTAATACATACAGGTATATAAACATGGTCATGTTGACAGTGAATTATATTTCATAGATTACTGAAAGGATAATTTATATAATTTTTACGCGATAGTTAGTGACAGACGTGCAGGATCAAGTATTTAAGAAAAAAACTGCCGATATAAGTATGATCTGGCACAGTTATCTCTACTACTAGGATTTAAATGTTAAAAAATGATTCGTATTATTGGCATAGCATATCTTCAGGTTTGTCACAATGCCTTCTGCTCATGCGTGCTTGTAGTTGGTACTATTGTGGCTTCACCAAATCCAAAATCGAAAGAAAGAAATGTGTGTATGTGTATGCTTAAATAATGAACATATTTAAGCATACCCCAAAATAAACATTTGTTTGTTTCGCTTTTGCATCTGGTGAAGCCTTAAATGGCGAAATGCGTAATCAAATCTATTTTCAATTAAATGTTTTCTATTTGTCAAAAATTATTAAAAACTTTGCCTGGTTTCTGTATCCTGTATTAAAAACACACACACAGACCCCATGGTGTGTGTATATATATATATATATATATATATATATATATATATATATATATATATATATATACGCATATATACACACACACATATATATACACACAAACACACATGCACACAGTGAAACACACACAAACACATACACACACACACACACATATATATGCATGTGTGTGTGTGTGTATATATATATATATGTGGGTATTTTTATATATATATATATATATATATATATATATATATATATATATATAGAGAGAGAGAGAGAGAGAGATAGAAAAAATTTTTCAAATTAAAAATAATAATGTTTTTTATTTTATGAAAGTATTTATTTATTTATATATATATTTGATATTTCAAATTGTCCTCAATTTTTCATCATAAATAACTGTTTTTACATAAATTAAACAAAATTTTGATGAAAAAAAACAAACAATTTGAAATAAAAATATATATAAATAAATAAATACTTTCATAAAATAAAACATTATTATTTTTAATTTGAAACTTTTTCTATATATACATATTAAGAAAGTATACGTGGCTTCTCATTATGCAATATATATATATATATATATATATATATATATATATATATATATATATATATATATATATATATATACATGTACAGACGCACACACACACACACAGACACCACACACACACACACACACACACACACACACACACACACGGGAAACACACACACACACACATATATATATATATATATATATATATATATATATATATATATATATATATATATATTGTTGTGGTACGATCCACCTAATTTACATATTGGAGTACTGACCATATAAATATGGTTGGTACCGGGAAGACGAGGGAGGAAGAAGAGATCCAATCCAGAGACTCTGCCCGCCTGCGATTAAGTCAACCCATTCTACAGGAACGGTCTTCCCAAGAATATACCAACTATCTGTAAACATTGTGTACACGTTCTTGTGTCAATACATTTTTTTTAAGTACATTTTGTGTTGTATTATTATTATTCCATGCTTTATTCAAGTTTCAACATATATATATATAGTGTCCATAATTCTCTTTCTAATTTAAAAACATTATTTCAAAAGCAAGTGTACAGACAAATATATGAAAATTGTTAGAAGATGAGGAGTACAGTTTTTTTTTAACTAATTCATTAAATCTATACATTAGCGCAATTAGTTGTCGAAGTATACCAAGACGCTACTCGATAATCTTGCTATATTTGCTGTAAGCATAGCGTCATCAACGGTGCCAGTGGTATCACTGAGTTTTTCTCTTCGCTCAGTGGTGACCCTTATCTTTGTTCGATTCATGTTATCTTTAACTCCATAGAACAAAGTCCAGGAAGTGATACCTGATGAACGATGTGGTCAGGGATTTGGGCCTACTCCTTACAATCCACCAATCTGGAAATTTTATCGGTTCATTTTTCAGTACCACATTCTACAACAGTATAGCCGAAATGTTCAAATGCCATGTCACTGAAAATTCTCATAAATATCTTGTACATAGAAACAAATCTAATAAAGATATCTCATCACCATATATAGTAATATATTCTTTAAATTGTAAATCCTGTATATTGAGACAGAAAGAGAAAAGGGAAGTAGTTAATTTTAATTTTGTTTCCTTGTCACGACATTATTTTTCACTTGCTACGAAACACATTATTTTTATATTTTGGAAAGTTTAGCTCTGGACACGTTTACTCAGCAGGTTTTTAAACCGTTAACCATTTAGAGATCGAACTGCCGTGTAGACTTTAAAATCACGCAGAGGTTGTTGCGTTTATACACAAAGAAAGGTAATTCATAATCGGTTACTGAGTGAGCTAGCAACTCCACACTGTGTAAACTCTTTTGTAAAGGAACCATAGCAGCAATACCTATCGTGGTGAGGTCGTAATCTTATACTCCACGGGGAATCTGCATGGCAATCGATTGATTGGATCCTTTAGTCGATGTTACTTATATATATATATATATATATATATATATATATATATATATATATATATATATTGTTATTAAAATTAGAATAAGAAATATGGTTTTAGAGAAATATCATGACAGAGAAATATATTGGTACATCGATGATTCTCATCAGATAAAGATACATTTAGGTCGGACCATCTCAAACATTAATGTACTATCATCGTTCTGTGTATCTGTTTGCGTATTTTATATTCCACACCCTTTCATCAATCAAACTCTGGTTTTCTCTCTACATTCAGATATTTTTTCTTCTTTTTCAATGTTTGTTATTTTCCTGAATAGCCTTCTAAGCATGTTTGCATCTCGAATGCTTAATATCAGAGGTTGCAACTGCGCCCGTTGCACAAAGTTCATGAGTTTTATCAGCATTGATTATTACGTCATCCATTGCATCAATTATGGCACAAAGGAAAATATTGTTCCGCCTGGAAAACACATCTGCGCATGCGCGAATGTGGATCTTACATAAGACAGATTACGGTTTATTAGCCAGCCACCTGCAGTTCGTACAATTTTTAGCAGAGTATTAATTACTGACGTGTATATATATATATATATATATATATATATATATATATATATATATATATATATATATATATATATATATATATATATATATATATATATATATATATATATATATATATATATATATATATATATATATATATACTTCTGTCATATTGTGAGTGTGTGCTTATATTGAAAATGATCTATTTTTTTTTTATTTATTAGTATGCCAGATTTTTATTACTTAAAATCTGATGAAGTTTCCACCTGGAACGCAGGTTCGAATCATGTCGAAGAGCGCATATTTTTCTCCAACCTTCAGGCCGGTAGACGAAAATAAATATATATACTCTTTACTAAAAAAAAACGTGGCATCTACTCAGATACGTGAATTCACTATAAATAACGTAATATATATATATATATATATATATATATATATATATGCGTGTGCGTGTGCGTGCGCGTGTGTGTGTGTGTGTGAACCGGTCTTCTAATGCTGTCTTTTCTGATGAGTTTTATAGCTAGAACATCTAGAAAGATTAAAGAGAATGTCTTTTATAGGGTGGATGAATCCTTTCATGTGATCAAGGACAATCTAACACAGGTGTGTGGTTGTAGATATATCGCAGATTGTGATGTATCCAGGGGCGCGATAAGTTCACTGCCGGTGTTGGACACGTTAGCCTTTGTTAAGATATCAAACAAGAAGAAAGTAAACTCTAATGTAACACACGCGGTTTCGCAGCATCAACGAGGTTAACGGGTTCTTTTTTTGTGTAGATGCTGTTTTTACTTAAAGATTCGGATTGACTCAGTGCAACGCTTTTTTTTCACTTTAAAATGTGATACGCAGTCATTACTTGATATCGTAAA